TAGCAGAAAACTTAAAAACTATAAAAAGAAATTAAATGAATATTTTAGAACTTAAACATTAATAACTAAGATTACAAATTCAATGGGATGGCTTTAACCACAAATTATCTAATATGTTGAAGAGAGAACTAGTGAACTGGAAGATAAGTCAATAGAAAATATTCACTTTGAAACACAGAATGACAAAGGAATAAAAAATACAGAAAAGAGCATAAGAAACATATGAAATCTAGAGGAAAAAAATTTCATAACATATGAACACAATCCCAAGAAGAGAGAAAAGAGAAAACTAGGCATAAACAATATCTGAAAAGTTAATGGTTAAGAATTTCCACACACCAATCAAATAAGTCTTACAAGCTCGGAGGAGAATAAATAAAACAGAAAATCACACACCTCATAAAGAAACTGCTAAAACCAAAGTGAAATCAATCTTAAAAGCAGCCAAAGGAAAAAACAGATTACACTCAAAGGAGCAATAATAACACTTACAGCTGACGGCCCAAGAGAAACAATGAAAGTCAAGAGACAATGACAGTTATGATAAATAAAGTAACGATAATATAGAATTCTAAATCTAGAAAAAAACACCCCTCACAAAATGAAGATAAAACAAAGACTTTCTTTTTTCCTTTGAAACCGTGTCTCACTCTGTTGCCCAGGCTGGAGTGAGGTGGTACAACCATGACTCATTGCAGCCTTGACCTCCCAGGCACAAGTGATTCTCCCACTTCTGCCTCCTGACTACTTGGGACTACAGGCATGCACCACCACGTTCAGCTCATTTTTTTCAATTTTCTTTGTAGAGACGTTGTCTCCCTATGTTGCCCAGACTCAAATTCTTGGGCTCAACTCATCCTCCTGCCTCGGCCTTCCAAGTGCTAGAATTAACAGGCATGCAGGCATAAGCCAACATGGCTGGCCCAATGACATCTTAGACTAACAAAAACTGAGAAAATTTATCTTCAGTAGACCTGCACTAAAGAAATACTACAAAATATTTCAGATATAAGCACAGAGATGCAGAATATAATAAAAAGCAATGGAAAAAAACCACTTTTGAGTAAACCTACATGACCATCATATTTAACAAACAAGACACACATTTTATTTTTAAAAATGAAAAAATCTTGTAGGGTTTTGAAAATAAAAAATATTCTCCCTAAAAATATTCCAGAATGTCAGTCGCCATCTCCTTTCAAGACAATTATTAGGTCGACCAGAACAGAAATCCAGTAAACTAACAATGAGATCATTCCAAACTTTCCATGGGAAAGTGCTGAGTAACCGTAATCAACTTACTACCCTCTCTATACTTTTAGTTCTTTCACCTACAAAATAAGACTAGAAGATCTCTAAGGAAAAGCTACTAAAATCCCTATGACAAGAGCTTGGTTCTTCTATGTCTTGAGAGAGCCATAAATAATTATGAAATCAACAATCTAATTCAAAACACCAACTCTCTCATTACCTTGCAACACATACTGTGCCTGGATATTGTAAAAGACTAAGTAAGTGCTTTTCACACTTAGTTGGGCGTCAAATTCTCCTGAGAACATCTTGAAACCCAGATTCCTAAGACCCAGCTCCAACCTATTAAATAGAAATACCTTGTGGAGGGGGTCCTTTGAGAATGAACATTTTTATAAAGCAACCTAAATAATGTGATATATAGCTAGGTTCAAATATCATCATTATGTTGGACAATTCAATAACTCAGGGTCCTAATATAGAAAAGGAATATAGAAAAGGTTAACAGGTCTGGGTGTCTTCATGAATAATTAAGGTTTTCTTTTAAATAGATCTTTAATGTGACCAATACATTTTTCATACACACCTCCAATCCAAACTGTGAATATGAAGGATGAAAAACTAAATTAGAAAGTCTGTTCAAGTCAATAAGTCATGCCTTGGGAAAGTACAACTTCTCACAGTTAATGACATGAAAACATGAAAAGGAAATGAAGAGTGTTCTGAAAAGTGTGGGCTTTAAAAACCAACCCATCAACACTTGTATGTCAAGAGGTTACCATTCTAAATGTCATTTAAAAGTCACAACAACATTATGGACATAATCATCCACTTATTACTCAAAAGTTTACCCAAAAGCTTCATTTCTCTAGATTTGGCTTTTTAAATGTCAGCAACTGAATCTACACAACGCAGTCCAAGCAAAAATTTCACACTGAAAGTGTCTGACAACAAGAGGAAAAAAAACAGCAACAACGAAAAAGAGAATGAAAACAAAAATGAAAGCACAATTTTTTAAATGTAAATTTTGGTTGTGGGTATCTAAGGAAAGGTTTGGGTATATGGCTACAACTTTGAATAAATGATTACACAAAAGGACTTCCGCAGAAAATGCTTTGAATTGTCATTGGCTTCAAAATCCAACCTTTACTGATGATACCTTGAGGATAATATCCTATAGCAGGTAAGTTCTTGGTTGTAGCCAAAGGGCAGCCTACAGCATCAGGAGTAGAAAACTACATGAAAATCCCCTGGTTCAAGTACAACCATGGTTTAAGAAGTCAGGTTAACTAGGTTTAAAATGGTGTCACAGCATAAGTGTGTCTTCTTTCTAACAGACTGAACCAACTCAATGTCCCTTTCATGGTAATTAATTAATATAGCAAATAAACATATTAATTAATATAGCTAATAAAATATACTATCTAAACAAGATTGTCACATGAAAGACATAGTTTCATTACTAATTGTCGTTTCTCTAAAGAACTACAGCAACTGACATGTTTGTTACTAAATTAAACCAGAAAAGAGTCCCTCACTACCACCCAAAAAATAAAAACCAAGTTCTCATAAACCTGCAGGAAGTTTTCTTCCCATAAACATACTATAAACATTCTAGTAGAAAGGTGGTTGGATTACACGATCTTTGCATTTCTTATTCTTTAATAATTCATGAATTTGCAATCCCCTGAAGCATATAAAAACATTTTTATTGTTTTCCTGTGTCTTAAAAAAAAAAAAAAAAGCTCACTGTATAAATTTGCTCTAGACAACTGATTACCAGCACCAACATTTAGAAATTTTATAATTTATTTTCTCTCCAAGTTTCACTGTCTCTACAAGACCTAAACATGTAAAGAAAAAGAGATATTCATTATGGACCACATTGTGGTCCAAGTAGGATATAAGATGCCTCACTTGATTTATCTAAATTGATCTTCACAATTACCTTCCTCCCACATTTTTTCTTCTTTTTACTGATGAAAAAATTGAGGCTCATGGAAGTTAACGGGCTAACTTTACAGTCACACTGCTAAACAGTGGTCAAGTTGGAATTTTAACCTAAATCTCACTCCAAAGCCCATGCTCCTACCAGCCTGGCATGGGGTCTCCCAGTTTGGGGATGGGTTAAGAAAGTAACAGTGACTCAATGTCTTTCTATTATTCTGTATGCTTCACTAATTGCTCAGCCCCATTAATCTATTTTTTTCTTTACCGCAATTTAACAAGCATCATTCTTAGAGATGGATTATCTAAGTATACTCTTGCAAAGCAAAGAATTACAGAATTTTACACTCAAAGCAAGAATAATTTGAGAACTCTATTTTTATAAGGAAAAGAGAAAAATTCACCATATTGATCATCCAGGAATATCTATTTCCACATTGCCCACATAAGTAACGTAGACTGCACACAGAGCCTCTCAGAATGCACAGAAGTGAGCAGAAACTCAAGTAGTTAGTGAAATAAATGAACATTAACTTATTTCCTTATTAACCTACAATAGGTTAAATTTTCACAAACATGCAAACATTAAAAACGTTTATAATAAGAAGCAATTATGTCCTCAAATTCAGCATATACTAAAATAAACTATGTGCCATATTTTCTTCCTTTAAAATGTATTCTTTTTCCAAATATTCCATTTCAAATTAATAGAACCAATGATTTTCATTCACCCAAGGTCAAAAACCCAGTCACCTTTGACCCTCTACTTGCCGCCTATATTCACTCAGTTTCCAAGTCATTTTTAATCCAGACTTTTTAATTCCTCCTGTTAGTTCCTCTCAATTCTGCAGGTGATTTCATAGCCTATATTAGTGTCTCTCCTTTCCCCCCTTACCTTTCACACAGACACAGAAATCTCTCTCCGAGAGCCTCTGCTCTATCTTGACAACCATCATTCAATACACTGGGGCAAGATTCATAGTCCCAAAGAGATGTTGATCTTACAACTCTTGGCACACAAGTTTTTCATAATTAAATTGCCTACATAACATCTGGCTCCAGCCAGCCACTCTTCCCAAAATCCTACCTTCATTTACTCCTTATAGTGTATCCTATGCCCAAGCTAACCAGTTCCTGTTGCTGTTACTTTCCCCAGCTCCGTGCCCTTGCTGAAACATCTCATCACCTTGTATGTTCTTCCTCTCTGCTTTCCACATAAAGCAATCCTGCACAGATTTTAAAACTGAGTTCAACGACCACTCTTCCACAAGCCCATTCTCACCTCTGAGGCTGGGAGAAGAACTGGCCTCCTCCTCTAAAATTATATAACACTACTTGCATGTCTATTTTGGAAATTAACATTTAGACTCTATAACAGTTACTTGTGTACATCCTATGTCTCCTACCAACTGTAAGCATCTCATACAAATATACCTCTGTTATCTCCCACAGCATTCAGCCCAGATTTTGTACATACTACAAGTCTGAAGAACTTTCAGTTCATACATCTTACACTAAGGACTTTCCACTGAAGAAGAACGTGTCTTCCCCATCTGCATAGCTTAGGCAACCTTTGGGTTTAAAGAAAACTAAATGGCATAATATTTTTCAAGTGTTAAATACCAAGTGCTCAAGTATGAACTTACTTGAATTTTAGAACTAGAGAACCAGAGGATGTGAGAAGAAAATATTCATTTATCAGTAAGGCAGTTTAGGCAGAAAACATTTGTCTTGCACAGAACAGACACAGAACACAACAGTCCACAGGGGCAGCACGCACAGAGCTTGACCAGATGCCTTACTTTGCAGTAGACGATCATGTTAGGAGAACTCTCCTCTGGGTCAGCAATCCCCACTGCTCTTTGATCCCCGGATCCCTGAGCCATCCTGAGTGTCTTCACTCACACTGCAAAAATAAATGAATAGATCATTAAGTCGTGAAGGAATTATATAAAGAGGGCTTTGAAATGCAAAGAATTAAGTAACTGTTGACAGAAGCCATGAAAACAAAACATGACATTACATGATATATGTTTTCAAATTTAGAGGATGATTATAGTCTTACTATCCACAAATATTCTTCTAATCCCCAAACAACATGTTACGGATTTTCAGCTCAGAATCGCACACTCCAGGAGTAAATATACGGCAGTCTTAATCTCCTGAAAACGCATGAAGCCAATCATTTTGCTGTTGGGTTCACCTTGCCAAAGCTCATTTTCTGATTAATTCTATGCAGTAAAATATGAATATTTTATTAAGGAAATCAAAGTCTAGACCACAAGGAGATACCACTTCATACCCATTAAGATAATTATAATTAAACAAAAAACACTCAATTAAGTCTTGGCAAGGATATGGGGAAATCAGAATCCTCATACATTGTTGGTAGGAATGCAAAATGATACAGTCACTATTGAAAACCGCCTTGTGGCTCCTCAGAAAACGTTGAACATAGAATTACCATATGATCTACCAATTCCACTCCTCAGTACATACGTAAAATAACTGAAAGCAAATATCAAATACTTGTGCAAAAATGTTCACAGCAGCACTATTCACAATAGCTAAAAGGTGGAAACAACCCAAATGTTCGTCCGTGGATGACTGGATAAATACAATGTGTATAGCCCTACGATGGGGTATTATTCAGCCGTAAAAAGGAATAAAGTACTGACACATGCTACAATGTGGATAAATCTGGAAAACATGCTAAGTGAAAACATGCTAAGGGTGAAAAAAGCCAGACGCAAAATGTCACATGTTGAGTCTATTTGTAGGAAATATCCAGAATAGGTAAATCCACAGAGTCAGAAAACAGATTGGCAGTTGCCAGTAGCTGCAGAGAGGATGGAATGGGTGAGAAAACAGATTGGCAGTTGCCAGTAGCTGCAGGGAGGATGGAATGGGTGACTGCTTAATGGATCCAGAGTCTCCTTCAGGGACCTCGAGAGAGGTGATGGCTGCAGAACACTATGAAAGCATGAAATGCCACTGAATTATATACTTTAAGATGGCTAATTTTAGGTTATGTGAATTGCACCTCAATTAAGAAAAAAATATAGTTAATTTGGCCTTTTTAAAAAGCCTGAAAAGATAACAGTGAGATAAGAACAAGCATATGGAATTTTTTAGTGAAGAAGGAAGTTCAGTCCTTGATGTGACACTGCATTTGTTGTGTGACCTTGAGCAAGTACAAGAATCTATTGGGTTTGTTAATTTCCTGTTAAAACAAACATATCGAATGCCTGCTATATGCTCTGAGTCATGCCAAGGCACCTTCCTCTACATTGCTCTCAGCAGTAAAACGTGAATTCCACCAACTTCCTCACAGGTAAGAGTCAAATAAGCTGAGTGTGAGAGTAGAGTACTAAGCCATAAAAGTCCTATACAAATGTTTTCCCTAATATAAGAGGCTGCCTCATATACACCATGGAATATTATGCAGCCATAAAAAGCAATGAATTTGTGTCCTTTGTAGGGACATGGATGAACCTGGAAACCATCATTCTCAACAAACTGACACAAGAGCAGAAGATCAAACACCGCATGTTCTCACTCACTGGCGGGTGTTGAACAATGAGAACACATGGACACAGGGAGGGGAGCACTACACACTGGGGTCTGTTGGGGGGAAATAGGGGAGGGACGGTGGGGGGTGGGGAGTTGGGGAGAGAGAGCATGGGGAGAAACGCCAGATATAGGTGATGGGGAGGAAGGCAGCAAATCACACTGCCACGTGTGTACCTATGCAACAATCTTGCATGTTCTTCACACGCACCCCAAAACCTAAAATGCAATAAAATAAATTTTAAAAAAAAAGAGGCTGCCTGGGTTATTTGCACAAAATTCAGAGGCTTTTCATCAAAGAAACTCTTATAAATATCATACATGACAGAAAAGGCCATTTCAATTTAAAATAAAAACTTGGGAAAACATTTTATTATAAAATAAGCTGCTATCAAAGGTCATTCCATAAAAACAAATTTGGGTGGAAAATGCGAGAGAGATAGGAATTTGTAATTTACCCTAAGAATTTACCCAAAATATCCCATTTGAATCACACTACATGCTTTCCTCACTATTTACGAATTACAATGTATCTTAAAATTAGATTACATAAAGAGGTAAAGAGCATCATTCTATAATAGTATCTCTATCCACTATAATATGAGGATTTCTATGAATATAGTGCTACATGGAAGCACTGATTATCATCTGATCAATGGCTTTTAAAATTAAATGAACACCACACTGTTTTATTTTTAAACTACTTAGTTGCCTACTCCTTTGCGTTAATACAGAATATGACAGAGCATGAAATAACAATTATATACTCACTTATCCATGTAATAGAGACCTTTTGGGTTTCTGTTGCTTTATTTTAAAAAGAACACTTCCACTTTAATGAGCATATTCTCTTCTGCCTAGAAAACTGTGTTATAATAGCAACGTTAGAAACGACCTAGAAACAAAGGTGTCAGGCCTCCCTCCGCCTATGCCCGGCCACCCCTCCCACCAACAGAAGCATTTCTACGTGTTAAAACAGGCTGATGCTCCAGAGTCCAGACTTAAAACTATGAAGCGAATGCAGATAGTGCCTGTGTTAAGAATTTTAGGCAGCTTCGTATTCAGTAGAAATGTTTCTATTTTGGGTTCCTCTATTAACTCATTTTGAAACTCAGACAAGCTATTCAGCTTTCCTGTATCTGGAAAGAATCATTTCTAAAATAATGATATAGCTACTTTCTAGTCCATATATCAACAATGTTAGAACTGGATGTGAAATCTACATAGGTAAAGATTTTCTAATTAAATTCATCGACTATAAGCTGGGGCTTGTGCAATTAAAAGACTAGGTTTTCATTCATTATAGTATGATGTAAAATATTTCTTCTAAATGGAGTACAATAGAAATGGAGTGTTTAAATTTAGTGGTAGAGAAAAATGGAACGTTCTTCATTGTATTTATATATACATACACACAATAAACAACCCAGTGACTTCTATATTAATATTTGAAGAATGTAAACATTTTTCTGAAAGCACATAATTGTATGTCAAAAGAAAGAAAGCATGTTAATATTATTTTCCTATACTGACTCATTGCTAACCAAAGAGGAAACCTGAAAATGGGCTAAGATCTTGCATTTCACAATCTCCAAGAAGAGACAATATAGCTTGGTGGTTATAAGCTGCCTCTCATCCGACAGATCCACATCTGAATCCACGCTCCACCACTTCCTAGCTGTGTGACCTTAGGTAAGTTACTTCTCCTCTCTGTGCCTTTAATCCCTTACCTGTCACACACCACAGCCCCAGCAGAGTGGAAAGCCCCCTAAACTAGGAGTTCTGGTATCGCCTGCCCCCTGCTCCTTTGCAACTAACCAGCTATCAGAACCAGGTTACAGAGCTTCCCTGGCCTCAGTTGGGCATTGGCTACAAAACCTGGCATCCTTAGAATTCCTTCCAGCTCTGAACTAGGACCTCAGAACCTCACACTTCTTTCCTTCAAAGGCTCTCACCAGACTGTTCCATGCCACCTGTCTCTGGCATTAGTGCCTATATCCCGGCCTATCTCCTCTATTCATGACAGTGCTCAATGTTTCAAAGAATAAATCACAAAACCACTGGAGTGGAGCATCCGCTGTCTGACTCAGCATCCGTCCCCACGATGGAATTCCTTTACCACACCAACCACGCTTAGGTTCTTTAGGACTCAACATTTATTTGAGCAAATATACTAAGCGTCTACTTTCATAAGACTCCATGCTAGGCCCTGGGGATATACAGATAAATCAGACACAGATCCTCTCCTTAAAATGTTCAGAGTCAGGTAGGAATAACAGATGTGCTCACAGAAAGGACATTGTAACGTGTGCCTGCTCAATTATGATGGCACAGAGTAGGAGGAGGTGACAGATGAGCAGAAGCCTGGGAGATGCAAAGTTTGCCATTCTGGCCAAGGCCATGCACAAACACAGGCAGAGGAATCTGACGCCCAGAAGCGGCTCAGCTCTGAGCTAGACAGTCAAGAGAAAAACGCCACAAAGATAATCTGATCCAAGAAAGATTAAGCAGGAGACAGCCAAGTGTGGAGAGTGAGATAACAGATTCACACCTATCTGAATTTGCGGGACTTCATTTACTTGTCTATCAGTGACTTCCTCTGCTAGAAAGTCAGTTCTTCAGGCCGGGCGCGGTGGCTCAAGCCTGTAATCCCAGCACTTTGGGAGGCCGAGGCGGGTGGATCACGAGGTCAAGAGATCGAGACCATCCTGGTCAACATGGTGAAACCCCGTCTCTACTAAAAATACAAAAAATTAGCTGGGCATGGTGGCACGTGCCTGTAATCCCAGCTACTCAAGAGGCTGAGACAGGAGAATCGCTTGAACCCAGGAGGCAGAGGTTATGGTGAGCCAAGATCGTGCCATTGCACTCCAGCCTAGGCAACAAGAGTGAAACTTCATCTCAAAACAAAATAAAACAAAACAAAACAAAAGGCCAATAAAGAAGGCTCTTGATCAACAAAGACCCATGTGTGGTATCACACACGAAGATTTTCCCAAGGTTTATTGATATGAACAAGCCTGGACTCCGCAGCAATCCACTTCTAGAATTTACAAGCTATTTACGTAAGAAGGAATAGGTGGGAGGGTAGAAAATATAGTGAGGGGGGTGCTCTGTGCAGGACAATTGAGCACCTGTGATACAAATGGATTCTTGAATCTTTGAAAGTCAGGATTGTGCCTGCTATCTACTCCAAACTTACATTGCATCTGTAACTTACAGTTACAACAAATGCCCTCTGCTTATGATGCCAGCCCATCTGGAACAAGCGAAGCCTAGGGTTCAGCAGCTAACAATTTTGAGCAGAGCAGGAAGAAAGGGCCTTGACGGTATAGG